CTTCAGCAGTCATTCTGTTGTGGGTATTTCAGAATTCTGAAATAGAGGTTTTTAAAAAGCTCGGAATATAGTGTTATAAATATAAATTTGCCTAAAATATACACATTCATTTTCTTTATCTCAGTGTTATCATGGCTCTAACTGTTTGAGTAAAGATAATAGAAGAATGAATGAGCATAACACTGTGATGTCTTTATCATATTAAGGTCAATTCACTTAAATTCACTTAAATCTCTCTCCTACATTTCAAGATCTGACATACATATAAAAATGTTCTTTCATTCAGTGCACTTTATAGGACTTCAATATTTGGCTCACATGGCAGCTTCCTGAATAAAAATATCTTTGCAGGTGGAACTGTATTACATTTTGGGTTTAGCAGCACAAATGTTTATTTTGCCCCCATATAAATGTATTTGCCCCAAGGCTAGTCACTGAATGCAAAATTAAATGTCTCAATGGATACAGTATACTGCTCCAAAAACCAGTTTCATATCAAATTGTACTTTTTAAATATCTAAATATAATTTTCCCAGAGTTCACGGTTAGTTTACCTATAGCACTAAGCCATTTATTTTTATATGTTTGTTTTTTTGGGTCAAGATGGTGGGCAAACCATTCACATGCCTTGGAATTGTAGCAAACTCAGCTTATATACCTGTTATTTAACTTTTTCTTTTGAAAACCTTCTCTGGATACCTCCACTTGGCATAGTCCAGTGGAAAGATGTCTTGGACAAAGCATTCTTAGTGGTGTCACAGAGAGCCTGGAGTACCTTCCTAGATTTTATTCTGTCGCTTCATTACTTTCACTGCAACATAAAGCAAAGATAGCTCTTTTTCACTTGAGCTTCTCTGATGTCTGGCAAAACTCTTTTGCAATGTTTTGTCACACTGGTTTACATCTGTAGTTTAATTTGATTTTAAATATGATGGAGCTGTGTTTTATTTAGTATTTATATATTTTAATCAATTGTAAAGTAGCTTAGAAGTTGGAACTAGGAAATGAGATAAAGTAAATAAAACATTACCCTGATTTTTTTAAAAAAAAAAAGCTGTAGGGCAGCTTTCTATAATTAGATGGCATACTTGTGTTAAGAACTAAAATATCCAGCTAACATGGCTAAGAAACATTCCAGCTGGGGATTCCAATTGTAATCTAACACATCTGGAGGACACATTACGTATTGTGTGAGTGCTCCCAATAAGCCCTGTTTATTGCCAACATAAGATACCAGATTCATCCAGGCTTCTATGTATTCTGTGTCTGATAAATGCTTTGCTTCTATGCTTCTATGCTTGTTGGCTTCCATGTGATTTATGAGTCAGGGTCTTGGCTCATGAGGAACTCATCAGGGTAGTTTATATGGCGAATACTGCCAACACCAGCATACGTTTCAACTACAAACCCAAGGTTTTCAGTTACAGCTTCCTTTTTTTGGTAACATTTTGTTTCATCTAGGGTCTGTGGGTGAATCTACAGAAAAACATATTTACAAGCATCAAGTATGTACAAGATATTTTTTTTATAAAAACCAGGATTAGCAAGCATTGCTGGATGGTTTGATCCTTTGGTACAATTGTACAGCAAGCAGATTTGCAGCAAACTGCAATGAAGTCAAAATGATGACCCGTGCATGATGACACTGTCATGTTAATACCATGATTATGTACTTGCATGTCAGCAGCTCACCCAAGTATGCAAGCCCTGGCATCTCTGTGATTTATTTCACTTTTTTTTAAACAAATAGTGTCCCAGTCATATCACTCAGCTGATATGATTGGGCCATACACATTTTATCATTTGCCCCCTGTCCCCCTCCCCCCGGATGGGTACCATAGCAGCAAGATAGTTTCTAAAGTCTAAAATGTGAGCATTCTCCTCCAGTATAGGGCAGGATAAACTGCTCAAAATTGTTAAAAATATTTTGAGTGTACTCATTTCAGTTCACACTAAGCAAAGAGGAACTGTGCATAAGCATATCTACGTGCCTTTCTCTCTCCCCCCCCCCCCCCCC